AAAGTGTCTTCTCCATCACAAAAAAAAACTTTTGTTGCTTATAATTTAATGCTGCAATCAGATACATGGAAATCAATTTCTCGTGGGGAGTCCCATCCATTTCAAACATTACTTACACATGTCCTTGAAGTACCAGCATATTCCAAAACCAGACAAGATGTCATGGCAGATAAAGCAGAAAGAGAGCTGGTGATGAACAGATTGCAAGTTTTTGAGAGGTTGCTCTGTGTGTTTGACATGGGACAAAAAAGACCCTTAGAAATTAATTCAAATTTAAAATTAATACAGTCACTCACTGCATCAGCAGGGCAGAAGCTTGACTGCCTGTACAACCCTGAATATTCATTAAAGTGACTGCCGAAAGGGCAAAACAGCTGCTAAGAGGATTATTTGGACTACGTGGAATTTAACCAATTGATGGATTAATTCCGACTTTGCCACCTGCTAGACAATTATCTGCAGAGTATCCCAATCAATGCTAGAAACCTAAGTCGATGCTGGAGGAATCTACTGGAGACCACGACAGCAGCTAAAGGCAGATCACGAAGGACAATAGTTTGCTTACTTCCATGATTTTCATTTACAAAATCTCCAACTGTTGTGCAAACCAAATACCTATATTTCCCTTGTGAGTTTACAAACAGAAGCTCCAAAGTGCAGGAAACCTGGGACTTGGCCACTTTCCATCAGCAGAGTTTGCACAAGAACTGAGGAGGGAGAAAGGGAAGGGGGTGAAATCCTGAGAGTAATAGAAGTTTTTCCCTTGACCTTGATGGGGCCACACCTCATTCTCAGACCCCTGCTCTAACCATTACCCTACAGAGTGTTCGCTGCAGCTGTTTTTTGTTTACACCAGAGGTGAAAAAGGAATTCTTCCTCATTAAAAAAGTTAGAAAGCAACTCTGTTAGTGTCAAGTCCCTGGGAGCTTCGATCCTTGTTTAAGTAGCATTCAGGATATAACTGGATGTTTTTCAACTAACTCCTCTCCCAGGAGCAAAATGAAGCTAAAGGAGATGCTTTAATATTCGTATGTCACTATATATCCATCTATGCATCGTTTGGGTACTCACTATGTGGAATAACTTTTTTGTCTTAACTACAGTTTGAAGGGAGAAGAATGGCACAATACAGCAGCACTGTTATTATACGGGAAACAGTGGTTGCATAAAGTAAAATGAAAACCAGTGGCAAACGCTACCCACTATGAACAGAATAACAAAAGGTACATAGCAAGGCAGAGCTGAACTTCGGAAGTCTCAAACAGAAAAGAGAAGAAGATCAGTCAACTGAGCAGTTGGCCCCGATTTCAATCCTTGGCAGCACTGCTCCATCGCCTCCACATCCTAGTGACAAATCAGTAAGTCTTCCTTATGCAGTGGTAACCCACTCATTTACATTTGTCACAATTTACAGGAGCTGATGTCTTTTGCATTATGAAGCCTTACAGTCTTGTGTTGAGACTTGAAATAAGTCCCAACAGAGGTAGGGTCAAGGTACTTTTATCTCCCCAAAAGAACAGGCTGTTTGAAGGATTTTTATGTGATGGAGGGGACAGAGTGATCTTGTCTGATTATGGCTTGACAGCGCACTAAGTGGCTTCTAAATTCAGGAGGTACTCAGTTTAAAATATAAATCCAGGTGGAGATTTTAGTTCAATGGCTAATCAGGAAAAAAATAAATATATATCTTCTACTTTGTAACAGCTTAACTGTACTGTTATCAAGGACACCTGGGCTTGTGGCTTCACTGCATATAAATATTACGGCAGGAAACAATGGCTGGTGGGTTTTATTGATAGAAGAGTCAAGAAACAGATGTATCTTATTAAAACACACCCATAGTTTGGACACGGACCTAGAAATGCTCTTTCTACACTTCACATCAGCCTCATTTGAGTTACAAATCCCTTCTGGTTTACTGGGTTTATAGGTGTCTGAAGTGCTACTCAGGAAAAAAAACTACAACAAATAAATGGGTTCTGCAGTTAGGACACAATCCAGAAAACTTTCTTCAGCACATGCTTAATTTTAAGTGTCATTACTCTGATCTGAAAATTTTGTATGTGGTGCTTATATTCTTCCCTGCCTGGGAACTGCTTCTGTGGAAAGTAATTGTCATGTCAGACAGAAAGAGAAGATTACCCAAACAGCATGGAAGGCACAGGCCAAGGCTCTCTTTAACCAGAAAAAAAACCCCTAACGCTCAGTATGGAAAACCAGAGCGACGCATCTCTGGCAATGTGCTGTGACCTTCATAGACTTCCTCCTTCAGAGGAGCCAAAGACTAATCCTAGCTGGATTTTCAAACTGCCTCAGAAAACTGAGCACCATGATCATGAAAAAGGACATATGCATAGTAATGGGCAGCCAGCAGTCACTCCTCTCTCTCTAGATAATTTATAATCTTTTATGGTTAATAGTTGTTGTTAAGACCTGCATCAATTTTAGACTAATAAAAACACAATACAGTTGCTTCAGTTACTTGGCTAATTGCAGACAACTTCTGAAGGGGCTATTTCTAAAGAGCTACAAGATGTAGCATTAGTAAGTCATCTCAAAAGAAGTCTACTTTACTCAGAGTAGGGCAACTGGAGTAGGTAAGTTAACCCTATTTCTTATCCATCATTTGCTTCTCACCACAGAGGTGCATGGAGCATGTATTTTCAGTGCAATAAAACTGAATCCCCATCAGCATTGTGGCTTCCTTAAAAATACAGTATTTATTTTACCAGCCAGTTCTGTACAAAAGGGTTTGTCAAACTACAGCACCCGTTCTTCACTTATGAGGCATAACTGCACAAGGCCCAAATTAAAGGGAAAAAAAATAATCTCTATTGTTACTTATTTCTTCATTCCCTACAGTTAATGGTTTTCTTT